CCCCAAAACCCCAAAACCCCAAAACCCCATTAATAAGAATAAATGAAATATAGGAAAGTTTAAAGTTAATTAATTTTTAAAACTTTATATTTAAACTTTTGATTCTATAAGACGGAATATAATAATGAGAATGTTAAATCAAGCAGTGATGATAAGTATAATTCTATTTTCGCTTTTAGAGCCTTATTAGAATTACACCCAGAAAAAAATTATTTCTATTCACTTCCTGCTTGCTTCAAATTGAATTAATTCTTCGATATTTTGCAACCCTAATTGTACTCAATTTTTCCTTCTATTTACACTTGGAGTTTCTTCATCATCCATTTCTTTAAATTCCTCGTTGTGCTCATATTGGTGGAGGGATAAGAAATCAATCTGTAATATCGATTCATCAAACATTGATGACTTATTTTTTGGCTATTTAGATTATTTATTTTACTTCTCAGCCCTTATAATTGCCTTTTTTGCCTCTTTAGCATTTATGCTAGTTAATGCATTGTAGCTGACGGAATCGAATTTATTGAATTCCTAAACTATCTATTTCTCATGAATATGAGGCTAGTCATTGAGAATAACCTTCAGTTCTTCATCTTTATCAGTAGCATTGGGAAAATAGGTTGCATCTTAGTCTCTACCAACAGGCTTGAAAGGTGGTTCTGAATCCATAAGATTTTCCCAGTCAATGTCAGAGAATAAGGGATGATGCTTAATTTCATTAATGCCTTTAGCTCCAAGTCTATTTGCTGGATCAGATGTTAAAAGTCTATTGATGAAATCAAATGCCTATGGTGTGATTTAACCATCATCTGTTCCTATTTCTGGGAATGTAAGCTATCTATTCAGGATTCGTTTGAATACTTTTTCAGGAGATTCATCATTAAATGGTAACCCTCCTGTTAAAAACTCATAGGCAACTACTCCTAAACTCCAAAAATCTAGGACATATGTGTGGTCTTTGCCTTGAATAACTTCTGGAGCCATATAATCTGCTGTTCCAAGTATTCTCTTTTTCGCCAATTTATCTTTGTCTACAGCTGAATTTTTTCTTCTAATAGGCTGATCATGATGAAGAATTGTATTTGCATGGAGAATAGGTAAAAGAGACTCACCGAATTTGCTGTGTGCAGTTACTACTGTTGGAGCTTTCTTAAACTCCTCTTAGGTATGAGGACTTAGCTCTCCAGAAGGCAATGTCTTTATTCTTTTCATGCTTCCCAGTGGGTCTTAAGTTTCCTTAATCAAATTAAGAGTCTCAAGTCCAAGAACATTTTAAATGTCCTTCTACATATCTAGATCTTTCTTATCGTTATGAAGTAAGAGACTGACTCCACTTTCTCCATTAATATTTTCTCTTTGAACAGTTTCTTTAAAATGCTTTAAGCCTGCTTCTGATAATCCGAAATCAGTAAGCTTGATGTGACCATCAGCATCAATTAGCACATTGTCTGGCTTCAAATCTCTATGAATTACTCCATTTTGATGTAAGTATTCCAGAGCTAAAACTATTTATGCCAGATAGTATTTTGCAGTATCCTCATCAAAGTATCCAAATTATTCAAGTAATGCAGCGAAATCTCCTCCTTTCATAAATTCCATTACCATATATAGATACTTCTTTGATTAAAATGTATAAACACCTCTTACGATGAACTCATTCGACATCTGATTAAGTATATCTTTTTCATTCATAACATATTCAGTTACATTTTTTTCAACCATTTTCTCTTTGTCTAAAACTTTAACTGCAAAAAGATCCGATGTATTCTTCTTTCTTGCCAGAATTACCTTGCCATATGCACCTTTAGATATTGTTTTGAGCAATATAAAATCATGAATCGTAACTCTAAAAAATGATAAGGCTGAAATACTTACTGATCATTATGCTTCTCGTAATTTTCTAAAGAGCAACTGTCAATTTATGAGGGTAGTACACAAACAGAATTAAACCTTACTCTTGACATTGTCAAAACATCTTGATCTTCATTGCCATCATTATCCTCATCAGACTCATCAATTTTCAAATCTTATAAGTTAAGTGACTACTTTCTTTGATTATTATCATCATCGTCAAGATCCAAATCATCAATTTCATCTGGCATTGTCTTTCTTCTCTTTCTTATTCTAAAAAGCAAGGATTCAAATCTTTTATTATCTTTAAAGAGCTCATTGACGAAAAACATTTCATGATAATCTGAAAATGTTTCATTCTCCTCCACTGATTCGAATTCCTTCTCATAATTGTTTCCTACTACTATATCTGACTAGCACTCATGCTTTATACTCAGATTGCTATCTTATGTTTTTAGTCCTTTAAACTCAGAAATGTTCTTCATGTATTATGATTTTCTTCTAGGGGACTTTGTATTTGCAGATTTTTAACTACCCTTTTCATTGCAAGAGTAATTTCTTTGATGGAAGATAAACTTGTTTCTATCAGAGAGAGAAGTTCTTTGACTTTCTTAATGATCAATGTTATCTCCACTATTCATATTTTGAGGGAAAGTCATTTTTTTCAGCTCCATGATATTTCCCAAATCTAGGAACTATTTATCTTTACTATCTTTTTTGTTATTCTTACTAAAAGTACTCTTCTTTTGAACTAAGTTAAGCTCAGGTGGTTCTGGAGATTCAATTACCCTTACTTTATATTAATGATCTATAGATTAAGTTTCAAACTCTTCACTCTGATTGCTATCGGAGACACTGTATTCTTCTGAACTTTGTCTTTTGTGAGACTTAGAATTAGGGGATATAATTGAACCTTTGCTCATTGGGCTTTAACTACCCCCTTGGATGCATGATATTCTGCTAATTTTTTAAGTTGGTGGCATCTTTTGAGCCTGAGTACTGAAATAAGATTTCTTTTTACTTTCTTAACAATAAGGTAATTTCTTGGAACTTTAAGGAATGTTATTTATACTATCTTAAAATCCTTTTTCCTCAACTATCAATTCCAAATCTCTTTATCTAGTATTCTAAAATTAGTCCTTCATGATTGGAGAACTGATTTATGATATACTAAAAAGTCCAGCAGGAATGCTATTTTGAAGTTGCTTCATATCAGCTTTGTAAAGATTTTGAATTGATCTTGATTGTAGAAGGGGAGTTGCGCTAGTCTACTTTTATCTCATCCTTTGAAGAGGATCTCCAATTCCTCCTGATATATAAGGACTATCAGAAGGATAGGAAATTGGAGAATTATTTATTTCGCTAAAATTTTTGTTTTCTTATTTTTACTGTTTAAATAAACTCTCATTTTTGTGTGGCAAATAGCCAAAGAATCCTGCATCTATTTACTACTATGAAAGTTCTTTCCTAGGACTATTACTGAACCCTGGAGGGAAAAACACTCCTTAGTTGGGATTAACATTGACTATTGCACTACTTCTTCTCATGTTTTTACCAGGAGATGCATTAAGGTTATCTCTAGATTATACAGAAGTGTTCATTTTTCTCTGTAAAAGATTCTTATTTATCTTTTCATCTTGCAATTAAGTTTATTTAGCTGATTATGGAAGGGTTTTAAAGTATTGACGATCAAGCTCCTCAAGTTATTCAAGGATCATTACTTTTTCATTGATTGTTTAAACAAATGACTCTACCATATTTTATGTTCTGACACTCAAGTTTTCATTTAGCATTAAATAGTTTAATTAGGAATGATGCTTTTTTAATATTTCTAGCTATTGCTTTGAAGATTTGATCTAGAGACCAATATTGAATATTTCGATAGCCATGGTTTTCAAGTTTTCAAGCAAATCTAATTCCTTCTTAGCATTTTAAAGTAAATGTAGTTGATGTTAAGATATGTCATCGTTATTAAAAGAGTCATTTAGATTTTGCTATCCTTCTCTGTAAGAAAAGGCGTTCCTTGGCATAATTTAAGGGGTGCTAAGGGGAGTATTTTACGAGCTTTAGTCATTACTGAACTTATTTAATGCTCTAAATGTGATAATAGGAGACATACCAGTGAATTTTGTGTTTTTAGGCAATTTACCCAAATCCTCTATTTTCTTATCAATATTTTCTCGAAGATCTTAGCCTTCATTTTATTAAGAAATAGAGGAAATAGACTTTTATTCCTCAATTTTAAGCATGTTATTGCTGTTTTAATTGTTATTTTAAATATGTTCATCCTCATTGTCTTCTATTATAGATTAAAGATGGTTGAGCTTTGAAATTTTAAAAGATTACAAGCCTCCACTATCAGAATTTTGTGGATTTTAGGCATTCTATAAACTTGAAGAGGATAATCTATTAAGGTTCATTTGTTTGGCTGGACTAGCTCTAAAACTGGATATCTTTTAGAAGTTTGGAGTTGGTTGTTCATCAACTTCAGAAATTATGAGCTTAGTGATAATTTTTTCTAGAGGGTTAGCTCTTTTTTTTAACTTAACAGATTTCCTCAGATTATCTATATTCTTCTAAGACTCCTCCTTTTAGTTCTTTATATCAAGAGTAAAAGCATTTGATATTGATTAATTCTTAGCAGCTGACTTTTAATCTTTTGGCTTGATATCTACTTTTTTAGTTATGCTTTCGACATGATTTTTAAGTTTTTGTAAATATTCTCTTTTCATTTCCTTAGGCATTTCTTTGCTAAATTTAACAAAAGGGGAAGTTATCTGATTTTTATTGCTTATTTCATCAATATTCATTGTAGAAGTCTTATTACTTTGATTGTTAACATTATTTTCAAATCTTCTTTTCATTGCTGTTAGGTAAGGACTCTAAGGAAGGTTCAAGGAACTTATATTGTGATTTTAGCTTTTTTTGTCAGCAAGTGTCAATTTTTTAGATTTTTCCTGCTTTACCTAATTATTAGCTATTTTTTTGTCTGCTTAGACTGTTGTTTATGCCTTACCTAGTAGTTCAATCTCTATCTTTTTCTATTCTGGTCCCTTATTTTGCCTAATTGAAGTAATTGAAGCTAGATAATTTTTCATTGGTATTACTTTCATTTCCTCTACTTTTGGTAATGTTGTCTAATTTTTTATTTCTTAAATCTTAAGTTGTTTAAATTCCTCAGTAAGTCTCTTATTTGCTTTTGGTTTTGTCTCTGGAGAGTTCTCCTCTATCTTTAATTCCTCGTAATCATCTTCTTTATCATCTTGTAGATTTTTACTTTAATCATTTTCATTATTTTTAGCTTATGCTGATGATGTATCTACAAACACAGATGATATAAAGGAACTAGGTTATGAAGTTCCTAAATTTTCGAACTGCTTTATCTCCTTACCCTTTTCAAGACCTCTCAACGTATTCATAGTACTACTTACCTTTTTATTGTCTCCTTTAGAAGTCAAGGGTGCTGGGAGAAGTAGACTATTTCTATAGGTATTTAATTTACTATCTTCAGCAATTTTCTATTAGTTTTGAAGCTATACATTACCTGCTGCAAGCATTTGCAATTTTTAAAAAGGGTTTACAGTTGCTAGAAGATTCTTTTAAGTATTTGCATGTTGAAGTTAGGGAACCTTTGAAAGATTCAGCATTGGAACTAAAGATGTATTTTTTTTAAGAGTTAGAACAGGTTCTTATACTGTGATTGAATTCTTGAATGAAGGTGTTGAAGCATCATTATTTTCTAATTTTACTTAGTCTATTGATCCCTATATATCAGGTTATTACTGTTACTACTGTTATTATTTAATTTATTATTTCTATTTCAAAGTTAAAGGAATCTATAGAGTCTCAACTTAAATTTATTTTTGCTCTGGTATAGTCGATGTAGGATACTATTAATCACCTCCTTCCATTTATTGAGAGAACTGTGAATCTTGATTGACAGTTAAATTATTGATTTAGTTTTCGATCTCCAAAGAGGATGATGATGAGCTATCTTACTTTTTGGATGATTATTTAGGTTGCTATTTTTAAAATTTAGATTTTGGCTTCTCAAGACTTCACATCGGGGAAGTTTTACCTTCTGCCCCATCTACTGATTGACAGTCAAGTTAAGGAAGAGCTCTCCTCATAAGTGTAGGAGTCTAGAGAATGTTTAATTTTTAAGTTGCTGTGATTCGAGGTGTATTCCTAATTTAACTATAAAGCAAATTTTGAACTTACATAACGTTAGTCTTCTGAACATGCACCATACATTCTGTTAGCTTGTTAGATATTTCCAGAAATTTTTAATTTTATGGATATTGTTCTTTCTACTTCGCTATTTTTTCAACACAGTACTTGGAATGTTCAATTTGCTTATCTACATAAAAATCCTTCGAGCAGACTCTACAAACGATGGTCGGAATTTTATTCTTTCTCTCATCTCTATAGAAAATAGATTTATTATAAAATCAATCATGGGGAAAATCTTACTCATATTCATCTCTCCATTTCTGAGACAAATTTATCATGTATTTTTCGAAGACATGTCTCTTCTCACCATGAGTCAATTCCTCAAGAATCTCTCTAATTTTGTCTTGATTTATTAGGGATTAGTTCAGGACACTTCCATCCTTGCTCATTAATTAATTTTTTAGATAAGTATACCTCTCACCTCCATAATTAGTCATTGTTGAAGCATTGTCTCTCGTTTAATTAGTTTCTTTATTAGTAGATGCAAGTGACAGGGAGTATTTGTTGCTACTATGAGAAGAGTTTGAGGAAGGCGATCTTAAGTTTCTGCGACCTAAAGATCCTCTGTAGTTATTGTTGTCACTATCGTTACCACCCATACTTTCTTGCTCCAAAATTCTTTTAATGACCGGAGCCTAGAGCTTAAAACTGTTGCTATTAGTGAACTACTTTCTTTTGTATGCTTAATTAAGTGCATCAACAAAATTAATAACTCTTCCGAATCTTGTTAGCAAATATCTCAATTGACTGAATATAATTTCAAGTGATTTTACATTTTCGGTTGTAATAGCTTAGGGCTTATTTTCATTGCCTTATATTTTTCCTAGAAAGTCAGCCCTTGCCTTCTCAAATTTATGAATAACCTTTTTGTATTGATCTAAATCCAAAACATCATCAGGGTGAATTTTATATAGTCTATCTATTGTTTAGTTTAATTCGCCCAATATGATGGTGAAATAATTCACACCTCCTTAGCTACATTATTTTTAGAGATCAATCAACTGTAATTATATATCATTAAGCTCAATATTTGACTAAAAGTTACGAATAATAATGAAATATACCTGAAGTAATTAGTGCCGCATATAATTTTTCAACTTTTTATACGAGTAAAATATTTCGAAGGTCAACTAGCCTTCACTTTTCTTCCTCATAAAAGAAGATTGTAAGCTTTCGTGCGTATGATCCATATTTAATATATTTCCTGTCTATATTACAAATTTATATAAAATCAAATATCCTAAACAATGGGGTTTTGGGGTTTTGGGGTTTTGGGGTTTTGGGG